CAGCGCCCCCCCCCCTCCACATCTCCCCAGAAGTTATTGGGGCGGGGAGAGGAAAACCTGAAGGAATAAATAAATAAGGCCTAAATGGGATGTGCTGCACACGGGCGCAGCCCGCAATAAATTCCCGGAGCAGGCAAAGCTTTTATTCGGCAGCTACTTTAGAGCAATTTCCACAAATCACGCGAGGGACAGGCCGGGAACGAGGAGGAAAGGGCCTTTTAGCAGCAGGAGGAAAAAAAAAAAAAAAGACAAATTGCTGGACCACGAGTACCCGTGGGCTTTGGGGTGATGCTGCATGATGGGGCTCCCGGTCACCTTCCTGATCCCAACAGCATCTGAGCCAAAACGCTGCCAGTCCCAACCCTCCCGTAGCGACCTCCCCATGGGCCCCCATGGGTTTTGCCCCCCATGCACGGGCAGCCCCGGGGCCGGCTCGGGGCCGCGACCAGCTCTGCAGATCACTGCCTGCCGGAGCCGCCGCGGCATCAAACATGCATGACTTGAATCTATTCCCTTCCTTTTTTTTAATTCAGCTGGCACCCGGAGACGAGCGCATGCAGCAGCCGCAGCGTAGCCATCAGCACAGGGGATTGCGTTTTCAATCTTATAAATTTTTAAGACGGAAAAAGTGGCTTTTGTTTTTTTAAAAGGAATTATTTCCCAACTTTTGCTAGGGACTGCAAGGGACTGTCAACTCTGCCAGATCCAGCATCAAGGAGGTGAAAAAGCCACAGCGCCCACATCCCCTGCATCCCGTTACAGGGGGACCCGGCACGCTGGGCTCGGTGGAACGAGCCCGGCACCAGCAGCAACAAGTCAAGCAAGAGATGGATAAAATCAGGGCACCAGTGGCGGGGAAAGCACCAGCATGGGGAAAACAGCAGATGCATCTCAAACACTGGGTGTTTGAGGCAAGATGCGATAGTCAAGAAACCCCCTCGGCGCAGACATCGTCTGCTGGGCCTACAATCCACTGCCAGGTTTGACCGGAATTGTCCAGGAGACTCCAGAACCATTTTGGAAGCGGCGGTGGTCACCCAAATCTCCAGCCTGGCTCTCCCACTTGCTGGAGGGATCACTCATGAGCGGAGCCATGTATTTAATAATAAAATCCTCCGATTAGATTAGCAGGAGCGACCTTTCCTGGATGGATGGGATGTCAGTTCGGCAGCAGCACAAGCATCGCGCTGGAGGGGACCCAGCCATTAACAGGTTCCTCCACCCTCCAATTTCATGCTATTTTGGTGATGCAATTACGGGAGCTGAAAATCAGGTTATGCCATGAAAACAGCCCTTCCCTCACTATCCATCTCCTTGGATTTACCAGGAATGGGCTGCATCCCAGGGGGTGGAGGGAGGCGGGCGCCAGGGAGAAGCCCCAGGGTGCTGAGACGCTCCCTTGCCGCGCGCTGCAGGGATCCAGTTTTATTTTGCCCTTTCCTCCTCTCTTTCAAGAGCCTCCTGCTGAGAGTCAGAGCGAGGAGGGAACTCAGCATTTGGTCACGGTGGGATAAATAAAGGCAGCATTACAGAAAGGACAGATTTCCACAAATCACTCAGCACGCAGGGGATCCTTGCGGTTTCCCCTAGGGCTCTTCCTCCCGTTTTCCTGCGCTACCAGATGGTGCTGCCGGGGTGGTCAGAGTGAGCCCAGGTCCGAACTTCTCCAGCCACATGGCTGTTCCCAGACCAGCGTGGCCACCAGAGACACCACTGCTGGAAAAGCAGGATCTTCCCCCTGGAGCATCCAAGGGTGCTCATGGAGCACCCAAGAGCGTCCCAAGCACCCAGAGCAGGGAAAGGTCATCCAAGGCAAGCAGCGCATCACCTGCTCCCTGGATGTGCCCAGATGTGCGCAGCCTCGTGCACGCCCAGATGTGCACATGCAACCAGGTGTGCGCCCAGATGTGCGCCCAATACAGATGTGCACGCACAGCCACGTGTGCACCGGAGCGCAGCTCCTGCGGAGGACGGAGGACCCAGGACTGAAACCCGCTGCTCCAGCATTCGCTTTATCTTTAAAAGGACCAACTTGTTGCTAGGCTGCAAAAACGAGCACGAAGGCAAGCAACAATTCAGCCTCGAATTTAAACTCGCATTAGAAATTCAAGGCTCCCCGGACAAAAATTATTGCTTGGAGAATTTCTGCTGCGCTGCCAATAACGTCTCTCATCTTTCTCGCTCTCTGCCGCGGTGTCTCTCCGCTGGTGACAGGGGGACCGACTTCCTCCCGCCCGATGCCTCGGCCGCAAGTGAGTCAAGGGAGGCTCCGCTTTGCCAAGCGTGTCCAGCACCGCAGGGAGCACGAATGAAACGGGGAGGGGGAAAGGGAAAGGTTCTCCCTGGGAAAGGGAAAGGTTTCCAGCACGGCACAGTCACATCGCAGCTAGGGGTGATGCAGGGAAGAGCTGGGGTTGCACGAGGGCACCCCAGAGCTGAAAGTCAGAGGCCTCTGGCTTTTGGTTCCGGGGTGCTCTTGCGTGACCCCCTCCTCATCCCCCTTCCCATTCGCTGCTCCTTGGATTTGGGGGGGACAAGAATCCACAGGCAGAGGCAGCAGCTGTGCAGGGGGATCCACTGTTTCACTGTCTGGTCCATCCAGCTGGACCCAGGGGACATCCAAGGACACCCAGAGCCCATGGACCATGCACAGCCACGAAATCCCAAGCCAGGGCAAGGAGGAGGCTGGATCCATCCAGCGCAGCATCCTGCTCCCATGTCCTCCGGGGCAGGACGGGGACACTGCCCTCCCTGCTGCTTTTGGTGCCGTGGCAGCTCCGCGTGCGGGGACGGCGGCTCCTCAGGGGATAAACGCCCGGTGCATTTCCACCCGCCGGTTTCAGCACCCATTTTAGCACCAAGTTTTTAGCACATCCCCACCTGCTGGCCTGAAAAAACAAAATCCTGAGCGGCGCTGCCAGGGCCAGCGATGCCACCGTTTCCTGCTCCTTTTCCTCCAAATCCCCTGCAATCAGAGCCCTGAACTGGGGGCTGCAGGGGCTCCAAGCCAGAGCAGAGACATGGGGCATCCTCTCTGATCGGAGCAGGATGGGGCTGCCCGGAGCCACCATTCCCACCGCCTGCTTGCTCAGATCGGTTTGCCCCACGCGCTACAGCCTGCAGTTCTCTCCCTTTTGGCAGCTGCTTGCTTTCAAGGGGGCACGGGATGAAGAGCAGCACGGCAGCACCCCCAGAGCACCATGACGGGCAGGTGCTGCCTCGGGCAGAGGGGAAACTGAGGCACAGCCAAAGGAAAGAGCTCAAGGGGCTGCAGTGCGGGGGCCCGGGAGCCCGGGCTCTCCGGCACAAACCACCCCGCGGTACCAGGTGAACCCCCATTCCCAGCACTGCATCTCAAAAGGGCCCTTTGAGCCTCTCAACACAACCGCACCGAGCGCGTGGCATTTGCCACCACAGCCCCGGACACCAGGGCCCATTCCCAGGCAACATCACTCCGGAAAGGCCTGTGCAACCCCGGGCCAGCCCCGTGCCTGGCTCCCTTGGCAGACGGAGACACCAAAAAAGCTCCTTTCTGAAAGCAGTTGATTCGGGGAA